TTTTTCCATTCATCTACAGATTTTGTTGTAGTGGTCATCTAATTTAAACAGATGATCAATGGAGATTATAAATAGTCTCTTCTAGACAAGATCAGAAAAATTTCTCCCTATTCAGTTTCAAGCAACTATAAAAATGAGACACTTCCTGTCATTTTCTCTCTCTTTCTTCCTTTTCCTCCCAAAGTAACAGTGCCAACCGGTACCTCCCTGGGCATTAGTAACTGAACTCTTTCACACACATAATTCCTAGCTTGTAATGTCTTCCTTCTTTTGTATGCATAATAATATATTTTCTCTCTTTTTACTCTGCTATAAAAAAAGAAAATGTAAAATATTGGCTTCTTGAAATTATTCTCCATTTCCTTACACCTGTCATTTACATGTGCAAAATATTCTTGCCACGGCTTTTAGTCAGACTAAAAGTAGTGCCTTTCAACATTTGGTGTCCACAACACAATTTCAAGATACACATACCACAATAAGTTTGTATGAATACATCAGTATCAGCCACTTCGATATATATAACTTTACAATAGATATGTGTTTGATAGAGTAGCATTGGATTGAGTGCATTGACAAAGAATGGCAATATATATTTGGACTCAATGGAAATGGGCAAGCAATAATTGTGCAGTACTATAAATAAAAGCTAGGTGATATCTCTAGACATGAGCCATGAAATAAGAACAATCTACCCCTGTAGATTTAATAAAGGGCTCAAATCAGAATTCTTTGTGGGTTATCCAGATCAGTATACATCTGAGGAAGGCCAAAGGGCATAATGGCTGAAACATTATGACAACAACAAAGATGAGAACAATAGTCCAAATATAAAGAGTGTAAATGAAGGAGATTATGTTGAGAAATAAATACTTGTTGTGTAATGTATTGATTAAACAGATTTAGAGCCTTTATAAACTCCATGATCCTTTCATTAGGTTCATATTATATGCTTTACCAGGGCTACATAGTTTTGAATTCATTGATGTTCTTTTCCTAAACTGGTTGCTAACCAAGGCTGAAGAGCTCTATCTGTTATACTATTTAGAAGAGATGGAGCCATACCTTCCCTAAGGATATTTGTGCAAAAGTGAATATAACAAAACTATACTGAAATTAGAACCTGGCTCTCTAGTTCCTCATTATGAGTCACTATTCATTACACCCTCCACACATCCTATGTTTATGCAAAATAATTTTGTTTTCATTGTTTGGCTATCAACCTATTGATGCACTTTAATTACTTTTAGTTAATGTTGAAACTAAAAGATTTCTTCTCTTCTTTTGGTGTCATCTTTTTCTCCTTACAGCCCGTTTATGAGCACATAGACACACAATTAACCCCCCACCACCACTCCACCCCAGAAAGTGTTCTTTCTGATGCATTGCTTACTATTCATTTCTTCTCCTCCCTTAACAAAATTAAGCAATCTCAAGCTTGGTCAGAACCTAAATGGGTGACCGCTTGGGAAAACCAGGTGCTGTAAGCTTGGATGTGCAGGTGGTGTAATAGATAATGATTCAAAATTGTTAACTGGAGGGTTGAGTTCCAATTCAAGTTGGGTTCATTAGACTCTGTTGCGTGCAAAATATCCTTGGGAAAGGTATAAATACACTTCTACCCCCACCAAGCTATGCATTAATTAATAAGACATATATCACTAAACTATTATTAACTCAAAAAAAAAAAAATTCTTACAATCAAAGTATTTTCTGGCTTTAAATAACCTGAAAAAGGTTGATAAACCATCGAAAATGAATGAATCAATCTTGGCTTTTCAAACCTGCATCTATACTCCTGTATTATCATATTTGCTTCAATCACTTTCTCACTGCCTTAATTTAGCTTCCCTGCAATTTTTCTATAAATACTTTCATGGTAATGAGCTTTTCTCTTTGGTACCTCGACTTTATGTATTTAAGTGCAGTACTAGATTGGCAGGTAGGTCTCATCATTTTACAATTAAAATGGCTAGATGTAACCATAAGTTTTATGCTAACAGTTTCTTCTCTTGCACTTCTAATTTAGTTGTAGTCTTTATGTGATGTAGTCTTTGTCATTTAGTATAATTATTTGTTAGTGATTCTGTAGCACCAATCCATGAGATTCATAGAAGGATGGTCTTTGCCAAGACACTCAGGCTTTATTCACTCAAAGCCTTTTTCCACTATTGATCTTAACGGTTATTGAAGTAGATTATATATCCTCTCATTGTGAAAACTCTAGTTTTAAAGTATTTTTTTTTCAATTTCTGATAACAAACATCACCAGTACAGCACTTGGAATGGAACATGCCTGCTGCTCTAATCACAACTTTGAGCCCGAAGCTAAGAAAAACAATCATCTAAAGAAAGCTACATGACTATTTAGTTTGTATGAAAATCCTGTAGACATGAAAATTATTTCAGAGAAGTAAAAGGTATTTATCATGAATGATTTTTCATGGCTATATTTAGGGTGTTTTCAGCAACTACATTGATAGCTGAGGAAGTAGTTGGCCTCTTCTGGCTGGTTTACTGTAAGAGAGGTGAAAGAGTACCTCTATTGATTGTCTCTGGAGACTAGATGCCGAGCCCAGAATACCTGTTCGACTATCAATGAATACAAATAATATTTACATGTATATAGAGAAATATGTAAGTTTAGCAATGTGTTTAAGTATAACATTTTGTGCTGGAGATTTGTATATACAGTATATATATGTAAGGATGGAGTTGTGTGTATATGAAAGCCTGTCGAAAAGTCCTCAGTCCAACTAAGAAATGATTCCTCACAAAAATTTCTGTTTGGTCATATTTTGGGAAAAAAGTTGGCACAACTACTTTTCAGCTCCTCATATGTAAGAGTTTCTACATGCCCTCATATGAAGTGCTATATTTTCATACATGACAAAAAATTAAAAAAAAAAAAAAACACACAAACTCTTTCTTTTTTTTTTTAATTGGCATCACCCCATGCAAGGCAGTAAAGCCACTAAGACACAAGAGGTTACAGAGTGTAGAAGAATTAGGAACAGAAGCATCTTACTTATTATAAAATGCAGATTGTGAGTGTGTGTGTCTGTATGTTTATATATTGGATCGGATTTCCTACATTTTTCAACCTATTTCAACAAAACTTCACAGGACTGCATAAAATTACCTTGCAGTGGTTCTGACAGTGCCAAAAATTGGAAAAACACAATTGTTTTTGCACGAAATCAATTTGAAAACATGATTCTGTCGCCAGAATGAAAGGGGGACAACTCATATCGAGTTATACTTATTATAAAACCCAGGTTGTTTGAATGTGAGTGTGTGTTCGTTTATATATGGGATTGGATTTACTATATCTTTCAACCGATTTCAACAAAACTTCACTTTTTTTTTGTCAGGTAGTGTTTCTTATTGTCTTGCACACTTTTTTCTTTATTTTTACATTCAGAATGCTTTAAAATTACATTTACAAGACAATTGTTTGTAATAAAATTGAAAAATTCTATTCAATCAGTAGACTCATAACGATTGAAAACAATGTTTTTGTTTGAGTTTGGGTTTGACTAATTCGTAAAAAAGCCCCAAAAAACAAAAAAAAAACTAATTAAGACATGCGTGTCCGTCAACCTTAAACAATAATCTTTGTTAATTTTATTTTTCAGTCTTTATGATGGTGGATACTTGATCTATCTCTTACTCAACTGTTACATCCCCAGGCAACGCCAGGTTCTACTGCTTAATGATAAGCAGAAAGAGAAGATAGTAATCAGGTGGACAGTAGATAATGATTGACATTGCATTTAAATTTTTTCAGATTAAAGTTGGCTGGAAAGCATGGAGTGAGAAGTGCAAGAAAAGAAACTGTTAGCATAGAATTTACAGTTATATCTAGCAGCCAGCTTAAATGTAAATTGATGAGATCTCAACACCAGTCTAGTACTGTGCTTAAATTCAAAATGTCTCGGTACCATAGCGATGAGCTCATCTGAACAATTGACATGAAAGTATATATATAGAAAAGACATAGAGAAGCAACCTGCCAAGATGCCAGATCAGATCCAATAATGTTGCTGATTTTTCTTCAGATTTTATCAAGGAGCTCAAGATAAATAGCAGGAGCACTGGACCATATGTGGCAGCAATATTCTAAGCCAGGACAAAATATAGACTTATAGATATATAAGATAGATTCTGGAGAGAAAAATTGTCTAGTACAACACAGTGGACCACCTTTCTTAGCAGCTGACCTAACAGTGGATTCAATATAGTCTTTCCACTTCATATCAGCTGAGAATGTTGGCTCAAGAAGGTGCAACAAGTTACTTTCCTGGAGTTTAGCATCATCAGCCATGCTGATGGAAGGCAGAGAGAGGTCTCTCAGATTATTAATGAAGGGAAGTTTAGCTTTGGAAGCTTTAAAATTAACAAACCATCTTTTTCCCCATTTAACTATGGATTTAAGGTTGTTTTGGACATTGGCTAGCATTATGACCTTGTCAGACTCTCTTACTCTCAAAGCAGGTGTAAATGGTTGTGTCATCAACATAGATACCAAGTTAAAAGCTGATATCATCAGGAAGGTCATTAATGAAAATAATTTATTCAAAATCATGTTTTGTTCTACATTTTTTCCCAAACTTTAACCTTTTTATCCCATTTTTCAAATATCTCTTTGTCTTTTGCCTCAATAAATGTTTAAATGCTTCGACTACTTTTTCACTGTAACATAATCTCCTATTGCACATCAGTTGATGGATTTCTTTTTTACAGTTTATCAACCTCTTGCAAGTTATTTAAAGCCGGAAAATATTTTTAGATTGTCAGAATTTTTTTAGAGATAATAATGATTTACTGATACAAGTCTGACTAATTAACCCATGGCTGGGGAAGGAGAAGAGGTGGATTCATATCTTTGCCAAGAGTATTTGCATGTAAGTGCACATAATGAACCCAATTGAAAATCAGCTCAGTGATTTCCATTTTTGAGCCATTTTCCATTACTCTACCCACACATCCGAGCTTAGAGCACTAGGTATTCCCAAGTGGTTGCCTATCTAGGTACTGACCAGACTTGACACTGCTTAACTTTGGTGATCATATGAGAACCAGTTTTCCAACACAATCTGGCTGTAAGCTATTGCAGATGGAAAGCTCAAAGTGTTTAGATATATATAATATATAGGAGAGATGTCTAATGAATAAGGTTTTTAATTCAAAGTTGAATAACCAAGGCTGTGAAACTTTTGAATGGTGGCCTTGAAGTGTGGGGACCTGTATTGTGATGGAGCAGAATTGGGCTATCTCTATAAAAATCCAAAGAAGTATCATTAATGTAATTTATCCTAACTTGGCATCTATACTTTCTTACTGGCATGGCGTGGCTTCCCTCTGTCTTTTCTACAAATATTTTCATGGCAACTGCTCTGATGATTTTTTTTTCCTGGTGCCCAGACTATGTGAATTTAAGTGTGTTACTAGATTGGCATCTAAGCCCTACCCATTTCCTGTCAAAATAGCTAAATGCAACTGTCACTTCTATTCCAATAGTTTCCTCTCTTGGACTTCCCATCTGTGGAACTTCCTTCTGTTTACTTGTAGAGAAGAGAGAGAGATTGATTCTCTTTGGTTTAGAAAGGGGGAATCATTAATGATAACTATAATTGTTGTTATTATTTTATTATATTTATTTGTGAAAGCACAATTAATTTTTATTTGTTTATTTTTAATTTACTCTACAAATTGACAGTATAATTTTTATTTGTTTATTTTTAATGGACACTACAAATTGACAGTATAATTAATTTTTATTTGTTTATTTTTAATTTACTCTACAAATTGACAGTATAATTAATTTTTATTCATCTATAATGGACACAATATCTTTCTGAAACTTTGTCCTCTCAAGTATTTTTCAAAGCATTGACACTAAGCTTTTTTGAATGTATCAAAGTTTTCAGTAGATTAGAATTTTGGGCTCAAATTTATTAGAAAATATATCCACTATCATTTGTGTCAATGAATGCAACTTTTAAATGGAACTTTAACTTTTCATCAAAGTTTCAGATGTTCACAGTTATGACCCGCCCAGCCACATAAACAGGGTCGACTCATCCCTCATTCCCTTTGTATTCCATTGGTAAAGAGGAAATTCCACTTAGACTGTCATTTATTGGAGCAGACTCCCAAGAGGATACTTCCCCAAACATTACATTCTTAACCTCTTCAAGTCTAGGGTAAACATTTATCTATCCTACATATCCCATAATATGCACTTCTTACACCCTTAAAACAACCCTATTCAGTAACCCTCTATCTTGAGTGATTCTTGAGCCTTGTTTTGTTGAACAATATTATAAAAAAAAGTTCATTCCATTTATAACTTGCTCTATCATCTATTAGTTTGCCATCTTAAATAATCCTCTCAATTTTTTCTCTATAATCTCCAATATTTTTGGTGGTTCAAAGCTGCACAAGGATGCCCGTATTCTGGATCTTTTTACCACTCTCAATGAGAGGTTCTGAAGTTTCCTCTGAACACAGTTTGCCTTGATTCCACAAACAAAAAAAAAAAAATATCCACCTATTTTTTTTTCCGTGTGGCACAATTTATCACAGGAGCCTGGTTTACCTCAACCAATCACGTAAAAGTAAACACAAAGTTCAACATTTAATATCTAAAATATCTGCACCAATTCACATTCAGAATGGAAAAATGAAGTGGCAAAATAAAGCAGCCCTGAATTTCCAACACACGCAGGCAGAGGATGATAATAAAACAATGTTAATACATCTAGGACAGTATTTTCATTAGAAAAGCAGTTCCACCAGTTCAAAATTTTCTAGCTCAGACACTGCCATGTTATGACCATCGAATCAAATCACCCACATTGCCACTATATTCAAATTGTAAGAAGGTAGTTCCACTCGGACAGCTTTTTTCTGGGAACTATAATTTTTTGTGGACCAACCTCCCACATGGGTGCTTCAATGAGCACTACAATTGTAACCTCTTCAAGTTGAGGTTCAATCACTATCTTATCTTCTTATACTTGCTTCTTTTTACCTCCTCTTATGCTCATATAACACACTTCATTCAGTAACTGCCTACCTTGAGTGGCTCCTGAGCCTTGAATTGGGTGAACTTCAATAAAAGAAAAAAAAAAATGAATGATTTTATGACTTCAAACAGTTTTCCCCTGGTTACTATCAATGTCAACACATTCTTGCAGTCTTCCTCAAGTGTTTCAATGTTAACACTTTTTTCAGAGTTACTTTTCTTATATCAATGACACTTTTTAGGTTTTTGATGATGACATGGAGGCTGAGTAATTTTCTATAAAGCATTATATTGTGATTTATTTGTGAAAAGGAGAACAATAGTATTTTTGGATATTTTGGTGCACAAATTGGATTTAGTTTTTCTTAGCTAAGTGTAATGTAAAACCATTTTCACCAGTTCATATACTCACTGGGACTCTTTTTCTACCAAGTTGGGAAAATAAAAACTTATTAAGATCTTGGCCAGTCATGCTCTATTAATTTATAAAAAGACCAAAATTAATACAGAAATTGTACCTATTAATAACATTTTTGGGTGAAAATAAGTACCTTCTTATTGTGCAATCTAGTCTCTGTGCTGATGCAGGAAAGAATAAAAATATACATCTAAAGCGAAAGAACATTTATAATTAAGTGAATTGAATGGGTAAAGAGATCCATAACTCAGACTTATGCATGCATTCAAAGCCAATCTAGGTTTTTTTTTTAGTTTTGGAAAGTAGATTTTTTTTTTTTTTTTTTTTTTTTTTTTTTTTTTTTTTTTTTTTTTTTTTTTTTTTTTTTTTTTTTTTTTTTTTTTTTTTTTTTTTTTTTTTTTTTTTTTTTTTTTTTTTTTTTTTTTTTTTTTTTTTTTTTTTTTTTTTTTTTTTTTTTTTTTTTTTTTTTTTTTTTTTTTCAAAATATAATGGGATGTTTATTTCAGACATAGGTATCCATTTAAAATAACACATGAAGTAATACAATGTTGAACTAAAAATAAATATATTAATTCTTGAAACACACACACACACATATATATATATATATATATATATATATATATAAACAGATTATTATTGCCACACCAGGATAAAATGATCTTTAAGAAAGGGATCATATTTTATTAATAAAAAAAAGGATACAAAAGTATCAGAGTGATTTAAAATTTAAGGTACCTTTTGGCCAACACATCTTCAGATGAAATAATATCAACATGTAAAAGTAAGAAGTTGAAAAGAAAAATTATTTTAAACAACTGGTGTTAAAATATAGCAAAATTAGGGGAGGGAATAAAAAAAAAAAAAAAAACATTTTAACATACATACATACATACATATAACAAAATTGTGTGTTTACATAATTGTCTGTGTGTGTCTTACAGAATTATATGGCTAATTCTATATTCAGTCTTTTGCTATTGATCTTATCAAATATGTTTTAGCATAATTCAGATGGAGTTTTTTTTTTTCTTTTAATTTCAATTTCAAGTTAATTTTCTTTGAAATTAATTTCCTTTCATCTTTATGATCTATTGTTATTCTTTTCAAAATTCGCTTATCCTAATTTTTTTATCAGATTAATTTTTCTTTTTTGATTTTACTTTACATAATTTTTACTGTATGTCTACTTCGACAGGCAAAATTTCTTGCTTTACTTGTGGCAATCTTAGAAAAAAAACAAAGAGAATTTAATTCTGGCCCCAGGAGATTTTCATGAAATACCATCTTGAATCTAAAGAGATTGAATGTGAATTTAAATGTAATACATAAATCACAATTTTCCATTATTCAGCAATCTAGCACTATTCCATAAAAAAAAAAGCCTCCTTCTTTTCTGCATTTCTTATAGAGACCCCACATAACCATCTTTTGTTTTTCCTACAAATTATTATTTTATGGCAACAATATTCAGAGAACTTAAAACGATTACTTGGTTACTTATTTTAGTGCATCCTTGTACTTACAATTATTGGCACATGATGCAAAACTTATTCAATGCATTATTTAAACAATAATCAATAGTGCCTTTTTATTGCCAATTGTTACGTATCATTGCCGATGAAGACATAAGTAGTATAGTACTCATTTTAAGTAATAGTTAATCAAAATAAGTGCTGCATAATTTGTGGCACTAACTTAGTTTTTGTTTGTTTTGTGGCCTAGGTCATTGGGTAAAGATTCTGGTGCATGAATAATCTGCATATATTAAATGCAGTGAGTGTCTATATGTATACTTGTGTGTAACATTTTCTTACAGTGTACAGATACTATAATTATCCTAGGTGGTAGTTGCACAGATACAACACTGATCCTAGATGAGAGGACACAGGGACTACTCTGATCCTAGGTGAGGATGAAACACAGATTCTGCATTGAACCCAGAGATGCGTGCACAGCTACTGCAATGATCTTAAGCAGGTGTGTACAGTTACTTCAATGATCTTCAGCAGGAGTGCACATATCCTAGATAAGAGTTGTATAAATACTGCATTGACTGCAGGTGGAGGAAGTGCAGAGATATTGCATTTACCCTAGACAAGAGTTGCACAGATACCACACTGATCCTTGGCAGGAGTGCACAGCTATTTCACTGATCCTATTTAAGACTTGTATACTCCATTCATTATAGGTGGAGGGAAATGCACAGATATTGCATTTACTCTAGACATGGGTTGTACAGATACTACACTGATCCTAGACACGGGTTTGTATTATCCAACATATCTTAAACCACTCGGCTACAGAGAGCATCACAGCTCACCAAAGTTCTTTTTGCCCTTTTAAGAAATGCACACTTCCTCATTCAGTTACTCCCCAAATCCTGTTATCGTACAAAAGGATTTCTTTATGTTTCAGATATGGAAATTGTCAAGCATTCAATGTCATTAAATAGCAGTTCCACACTCTTGTCTTGGTTTCTAATGAAATTTTCCTATCTCTTAATACTCTGTTTAGTTTTTGGATAGAATCTTTTGCTATTCCCTTATGCCTTTGGATTTCAGTGTCACATTTTCCAGCTATTTAAATTCCTGCACTTGCCTGATTTTCTTCAATTTGTAGTTTGCATCTTGGCTTGTTTATTTTGCTTACA